ATGTGCAAATAAGACCACCCTTTCATAGGAAAATAATACAAGTATTTAAGCAGAAGTCCTGCCTCTGGTCTGTAAGTTGCACAAGGTGGTTTCCTCTAGAAACACAAATCCTACCAACCAGCCCTCAGACTGCCAAAGAAGATGTGGCGAGAACCCAATTTTTTTGTCCTAGACTCCCCTAACTAGAAGCTCACCCAATCGGGTATTATCTTACAGCATCACAGAATAACTAGAAATAATTAGGACACTCTGCAGCCCTAGAAAATGCCACAAACTTAAAACTTAAATCATGCTCAGGTCAACTGAGCTTTTGAAAATAATCTGTCCTTTTCTTAAAGTCATGATCTGTATCAGGGCCACACGATGAGACTCGGTCAAAGAGAACACTAGACTAAGGCCCTGGGAAACTCATTTCCCAAGTCATTAGGGGTAAACAGGCCATCATGATTTCATTTGAAAGTATTAATGTAGGGGCACCTGGGGGGGGCTCAGCCCGTGACGCGTCTGTCTGCCTTGGGCTAAGGTCGTGCTCGGGGGTCCTGAGACCTGCCTCTCCCTCTGCCTCTTCCCCCACCCCCACTCGTACTTTCTTGCCTTCTCTCTCCCTCTCTGTCAAATAAATAAATTAAATTTTTTTTAATTAAGTGTTAATGTAAACAGGAAGCTGCAAATATGTGATTGCAATGTAAAGTTACTCTTTGGACTACTTTGCCAAACTGCCCGCCATGTCGGTGCTGTGGCCACCAGGCCCATGTGTCTACTTAGATATAATTCACGCTAAATAATTGTTTGAAGACCAATTGTTCATCCCACCAGCCGTATCTCAAATGCTGTACCTGCAGGTAGCCGGTGGCCACCACAGGGGAAGGCTGGTAGCCACCACAGGGGACAAGACGGACACAGCACAGTTCTGTAACAGCCAGACACGTGTGTAACACACGGTATCTACCATACAGACAGGCAAATTCAAGTCCTCCGACCTTCCATGGGGCACCACACAATACCTCGTGGTTTTGTGGGCAGTTTTGTTTGTTTTTATTCACCATTTTGATAGCAGGAACAAACAGGAATTTTTGTAAAGCTACATCTAAAAGAAGCAGTGAACAACGCTTTGAGAGTTGGCTAACTCATAAAGACATTTCTGAATACAGGCTCTGCTTACATACAATGGCTTTGCAAAATAAAAGTAATGAAAAAACATAGCTGGTATCATTTTGAATAGTTGAGAAATTTTGTTTGCAATAATTATCTCCCTCTATCTGATAATCAAATACAGTGAGGAAGGCTCAACTAAAAAGCCATACTCAACCTACAAACGATGCTTTCTGCGATGAGGAAAATACGGTGTCAAGTAGGAGAAGTTAATCAGTTTCTTCTTACCAAGTGGTAGAAATATCAGAGAATCAGAGATGCTTTGGTGGGTATCTGAAAATGGGTGTTAATTATCACTCCCGCTCCACCACACCCTATCATTACCTCTGCCCTGATACTCAGCTGTTTGCCTACTTATTTTTAGTTAGCCTACTAAAATGCACCTTCCCCCTATGGTTTTGGGTCCAATTATCACTTCATGTCCCACATGAAAATCACTTACTTCTCTACCATTTGGTGAGAAAATACAGAGACACCATTTATTTGCACATTTTTAATATAATGCTGTCTAAACAGCAAGCTGTTATCTTTAGAATGCCTAGAAAAGCAAATCAAGGAATGTGCTTAGTGCCAGAGAACTGCACAAGTAAAAATGGTTAAAATGGAAACTTTTGTTATGTACATTTAACCACAAGAACAAGAAAAAAAAAAGCACACCAAGACAACTGTCTACATGCTGAGACAATCCATTTTTTCAGAGGAAGCACACGGCTTTTCCCAATAAATTGGTTAGAATTTTTCAAAGTAAGAAAATATGAAACTTCCCTCAACGTTAAAATTAAAATCCAAGCATATTGGGGCGCCTGGGTGGCTCAGTGGGTTAAAGCCTCTGCCTTCGGCTCAGGTCCTGATCCCAGGGTCCTGGGATCAAGCCCCACATCAGGCTCTCTGCTCTGCAGGGAGCCTGCTTCCTCCTCTCTCTCTCTCTCTGCCTGCCTCTCTGCCTACTTGTGATCTCTGTCTGTTAAATAAATAAATAAAATCTTAAAAAAAAAAAAAAACCAAGTATATTAAAAGCCAAAGATGAGAAATATATTTAAGAAAATGGGTTTATTTTCCAGTACCCAAGAAACGACAGGATAAAGACACACCTAACACAATGGCACTAAATGAAAACTTGCCTCCTGTTTGTAGGGACCCCAGGCGTAAGAAGCTATGGTTTCACCAGGATTGCAAATCCCACACAAGCTGGACACGGTACTGAGTGCTTCAAGACTAGCAACCCTAATCCTCTGAACCCCTCTAAGACCTCCGTAGGATCATAATCCCCATTTTACAGATGGTGAACCTGAGACAAATCACTTTTTAAAAGAAGATGGTTCTTGGGGCGCCTGGGTGGCTCAGTGGGTTAAAGCCTCTGCCTTCGGCTTGGGTCGTGATCCCAGGGTTCTGGGATCAAGCCCCGCACTGGGCTCTCTGCTCAGCAGGGAGCCTGCTTCCTCCTATCTCTCTGCCTGCCTCTCTGCCTACTTGTGATCTCCGTCTGTCAAATAAATAAATAAATAAAATCTTTTTTAAAAAATAAAATAAGATGGTTCTGGTCACAAAGGTCGTAGCTGAAGTAGTGAGGTCCTGGCTGCTTCTGGCTTCGGCGCTGCCCCCCACACTGGGAGTCCGTGCTGAGGGCGATCAGAAGAACCATACCACTCACTAACACAGAGTCTCCAGAGCAACATAACCTTTCATAGATTCGGATCATCTGGTATATAGCAGGGACAAGGAAAACTCTCCTAAGTTTTAAGAAAGCCCAAAGGATATCTTGACATGAAACCATCCTTAAGATATCCCATTGCAACAACCAACACTTATCTTGCTCCTATTTTTAGGAAAATTCAGAGACAACCTGCAAAAGCCATTTCAAGAGAAAGAAATATTAAAAAGGGGGTGAGGGAAGAAATGTAAATCGAAGGGATAAATATTTCAATAGCAAACTCCTTCACCTTCTTCCATGGTCCATATTCTAATACGTGGCATTTGCATCACAAACCTGACTTTGTAACCAGGTATTAAACTAAAACAGGATGCAGAACGCTCAACACTTTCCAATTCCTTGAATCCTGGCAGGACAAAATACCCCACACCATCAAAACTCAACAATGAGGGGCACCTGGGTGGCTCCATGGGTTAAAGCCTCTGCCTTCAGCTCAGGTCCTGATCTCAGGGTCCTGGCATCCAGCCCCGCATCAGGCTCTCTGCTCAGCGGGGAGCCTGCTTCCTCCTCTCTCTCTCTCTCTCTCTCTGCCTGCCTCTCTGCCAACCTGTGATCTCTGTCTGTCAAATAAATAAATAAATAAATAATCTTTAAAAAAAAAAAAAAAAAAAACTCAACAATGAATCCCAATAAACTAAGTTTGCTCAGACTGTGAACATTTAGGATGCCCTCCCAAGACTTTGCGGGAGGGGTGAGGGTGGTGAACCCGGACGACGACGACCACTTTCTACTCTGTACCTGTAACTGCAAGTGAACACAATCTGTCCTCACTCCATTCTACAGATGGGGTAATGCGGTAAAAGTTGCTAGCTTCTTTGTCTCAACACACGAAGCCATAAGGAAACAGCAAGGGCCACAAAATGACCCCGGTCCGGGGGAGAGGCGCGAGCACAACTTGGGGGGGGTGGGCAGGGGACACAGGCACGAGCCCCCAGCCCAGCACCCCCTCCCACTCCCACCGCCGGGGCTGAAGGAAAGCACCACTTCACTCCAGCGTCTGCCCTGGGGGGCCAGAGCCCGGGGCGGGGTGGGGGGGGGCCAGCCTTCAGGAGCGGGGACTCGGAGGGTTGGTTGTGGGAGACCGGAGGCTCTAGGACTGGAGGCCAGGTTCAGAGGATTCAGCGGGTTGGGGAGTCGGGGGGGTCTCGTGGGGCCAGAGGCTGGGGGCCAGGAGGTCCAGGGGGCTCGTAGGGGGGCGACTTGGGGGTGCCGGAGATCAGACTCAGGGGGGTGCTGGAGGATTCGGGGGATTCAGGGGGCCGGGTACTCCGAGGGGTGAGTGGACAAGGGGTACGGGGAGGGCCGGTGGTTCGTGGGGGCTTGGGGGGTTCGGGGGATTCATGGGGCCGGGGAGTAGAGGGGGAAGAGGGGAGACCAGGGGCTCGTGGGGGGCTGGGGGGGTTCGGGGATTCATGGATCCGGGGACTCGGGAGGGGGAACGGGCGGGCCAGGGGTTCGTGGAGGGCTGGGGGTTTCGGGGGATTCATGGGGCCGGGGACTTGGGGGAGGGGAGTGGGGGTTCGTGGGGGATGGGGGCTCCGTGGGTTCGGGGATATTCTGAGGGTGGGGCAGCGGGATAGGGGGGCTGGGGAGGGTTCGGGGGATTCCGGGGCCGGGGACTGGGGGGGTGACGACGGGGTGTTCATGGAGGGATGGGGGCTCAATAGGACTTGGGGGATTCGCGGGGCTCGGGGAGGGGGGCCGTGCACCGAAGGCGCCGCGGGCACTCAGGTCTCCCGCGACCCGACACTCGGGCTGCCATCGCACACCGAGAGCGAAACCCAACCAAAACTAAGGCAAGGGCAAGTTTGATGCCTGTTTCACTCCCACAAAAAGTTTTTTAAAAGACAAAGCAACCGAGACTCCGGGCCCCTGTTCTCGACGCTCAAGGAGCGCACCAAGTGAGGACCCCGGCGGAGACCGGAGTAAACTTTCGGCGGCTGCTTGACCGCGGCTCACCGCCGGCTGGGGGCCGAGGGCTGGGGGCTGCGCCGGGGGGGTGAGGGGGGCCGAGGGTGGGGGCTGGGCCGGGGACCGCGGCCTGGGGACCCGGAGCCGGGCCGCACGGCCCGCAGCCCGACTCGGCTCCCGCTCCCGCTCGCGCCCCGCGCCCTTCCGCGCCCGCCCGCACGCTTACCGGCATCATCTTGGACCCGAACCGCATGGGAGCCGCGGCCCGGGCCGAGCGGAGCGCCCGGGTCTCGGGAGCGCGGGGCGGCGGCGCAGGGCGAGGCTCCCGGAAGGCTGCCGACCTGTTGCGAGGCGGCCGCTGCGTGGGCGGTCCGCCGAGCCCTCCCCGCGGGCGGGGGCGCCACCGAGCCCCGGGCCCACCCCCAGCGGCCCCAACGCTGCTTTGTCTCCTCCGCGCCCGCGACAGCCCGCGAGCCCTCCGCGCTCCGCCCCCCGCGCGCGGCGGTGGGGGCGGGGCGGGGCCGGGAGCGCGCCTGCGCGGGCGGGGCCGGGAGCGCGCCTGCGCGGGCCAGGCCGGGTTGGCTGGCACGGCGGCCGGCTGGGAGCGGTTTCGTGGCCTCCGCCTTCAGCCCTCTGCCCGTCGCCCAGGTTCCATGGGAAAACTCTTGTCTGACTCGCTTTCACTAAGTAAAGGAATACACTAAAAATTACTTCAATGGTAGAGCGTACATATTTTTGCTGTAGTCAATAAACAAGCCTCCAAAACTGTTTAAAGTGTGCCGAGCAGCCTTGTAAGAAACCGCTTTTCTGCAGCTCTAGCCGGTCCGGCCCTCCGCCTGTAGGGGAGCGCGCGCTGGGGGAGGGGCGGCGCGGCCTCGCTGAAGCCCGGGTCGGGCGGGCAGCCCCTGAGGAGGATGGGCGCTCCAGTGGGGGAACAGCTCCGGTGCGGGGCAGACCCCGAGGTGGGGCTCCGAGGAGGAGCTGGGGGAGCCTCCGTGGTGGGGACCTACGAGGAAGAGGTGGGGGACGGCCCCGTGGTGGGGGGCTGCGGGGAAGAGCTGGGGGCAACCCTCGTGGTAGGGGTCTCCGGGGAAGAGCTGTGGAGCAGCCCCCGAGTTGCGGGAGCTCCAGTGGGGGGCCCTCCCGAAGTGCCTCCTCCGCAGCGAGGCTGAGAAGTGAGGCCAGCGAGGAGAGCACCTGCCGGTGCCCAGCTCCAGGACTGGCAACTCTTTCTGGGTCTGGCACCCCCCTTCCCAGATATCCCTAAACCCCGTGTCGCGCACCAGCTCCCTTCATACCGGAAATAGTTAAGAGCACCTGATACCATTAGAATGTAAACGTCTCCAGACTAGGTAGGTTGGGCGGACCGTCGTCCAGAGTTAAGCAAAGCGGCTCTGTCGCTGCGTTGGTTCAGTGCTCACCCATCGCCTGCCGCCTGTTCTGAGCGCTACCGTACGCAGAAGCACAGAACAAACATTGGATGAGCGGTGAAACCAATAGCGAAGTGTATCAATAATCAATGATTACACAAATTACCAGTACGGTCCTAAGGACAAGATTGAAGGGGGTCGGGGGAAGAGTCTGCAGGTACAACACTTAAGAGGGTGGTCCAGGAGCACCCCCCAGGACAGAAGGCTTCCAGGCGGAGGATGAAGCTGCCAGCAGCTGGGGCAGAAGACAGCAAGCGGGGCATCCCATCCCACAAGGATCCTTGTTGGCAACTGGCAGCTCATAAACGGACCCTTGAGCACTTAAAAAAAAAAAAAAAAAAAACCTGGCCTCATATACATGAGTTTTCATTCTTTCTTTGCACAGAAAGAAATCTCAGCAACAACCTAAGATATCACGATCCACCTTCATCTAGAAAAAGAATTCTGGGCATCAGTCACTAAATTTCCCGTTCTCAATAGAGAACACGTCTCTTTACCACCCAGAAGCTGGTCACATGCTAGAGTACCTTACATTTCATATGAGCACCGGCAGCCCCCCGCTTATTCATAAAACGATCACAATGGAAATAGAGGCAAGGACAGAAGACCTGGAGTAAAATGGCCAGGTTCTGTTTCTTTACTGCCTGTGGGACAGATAAGCCACATAACCGCAAGCTGGGTGGGGTGCCCCAAGGGGAGCTTGTACCCGGGGCACAGTACCTCTCCTCATCTGTTGGGCTGGAGTCCAGTGTTTGAGTTCCCAACAGCCTCCTCCCAGTTACCCCCTTTCCCATTTCCCTCAGCGGTCTGACCCCAGCCAGCCTCTCCCCTATCTCCTCCCTGAAGGTGAACCCCCATCTCCCTTGGACACTTTTCCCCCTTACCCTACTTCTACTCATGTGTCAAGTGCCCACCTCAATGGAAGGCTCTGGAAGTCAGGTTGAATGAATACCTCATCCCTATCCCGTAGCCATTTAAGGATGTGCAGAAATGTATGAATGTACATATATATGTTCATTATATGCTTTATTTATTTATTTATTTATTTGAGAGAGAGAGAGAGAGAGTGAGCACAAGCCAGGGAAGGGGCAGAGACAGAGGGAAAAGAGAGAATCCCAAGCCGACTCCCTGCTGAGCGCAGAGCCCAACATGGGGCTTATCCCACCACCTTGAGATCATGACCTGAGCTGAAACCAAGAAGCGAAAGCTCAACAGAGTGAGCCCCCCAGGTCCTCCATTTGCTTTATTTATTTATTTATCTATTTATTTATCAATCATAATACTTACACCATGTGATATAGAAAAAAACACAGTTTTCACCCCAACTGGACAAAATGGCAAAAACCAATTGTTATTCATTATTCACTTATTTGTCTATGTTCAGCCCCAATGTTGTCCTTCGGTCATAGAATGGATGGTACTTAATAATAATCGTAAGTTTACCATTCTTTCTCGTCTCTGCAGGTTTGGTAAAGTCTTGTCCCTGACTCCTGCTGTAGCCTCAGGGGGGTCTTCCCGAGCATCCTTGGGGGCTGTCAACACAAGTCCTCTTGTGCCCTCCGATCCACATTCCATCCTCATGGTTGACAAACCATAGGCCAAAGCTGGCTCTCCGCCTGATTGTGTATTGCCTATGAGCAAAAATGGTTTTGACATTCTTTAACGGCTGGAGGGAGGGGAGGAGTCTCAGAGAGAAGAGGAAGATTTTATGACACATGAAAATCACATGAAATTCAAATCTCAAGATGGGGCCACGTGATCGGTTAGAGGACGTGGGGGCAGGTGGTGAGTAGCACACGAATGGTTATTATACTTCTCTGTCTTCTTGGGTCTGCTCTACATTCTAGATAATACCATGTTTCTAAAAAAGAAACATGAAAGCCATGGGTGGCTCTCCATCACTATGGGGATCACCTGCGGTAAGCATGGCCCCTCGCCCCCCCACCCCAGGCCCAGCTCACCCCTGTGGGGGGGAGGAATAGCCCAGTGTGCACTTGTGTTCGTGATAAAAGACTCAAAATTGGTGACTTTACGGGACAAACTCAGGGCTCTGAAGACATCTGTCTGTACTGTGGGCTGTACCTCCGTGTGGTTTGAGGAATTCCCTGCGTCCCTGATAATGCATGGCGTTCTTACCTCCTGTTGGCTGCTCTGTCCGCACCCTGGGCCTCCCCTCACTCACCCTGCCTGCCTTCTGGTCCCACCCTCATCTGAAACTTGCCAGAGTCACCTTTATTTCACGGATGCCTAAACATTTTCTGTCATGGGAGCGATGCTTGTCCCCTCCCTCTCCCAATGCAATTGTCACTGGGCTTCAGGACGGGGCTCTCTGGGTTTCCCCCTCCTCCTCCTCTCCCTGCCTCTTCTCCGTGTCCTTGAGCCTCATTTTCCCCACCAGCCCTGACGCAAGGCTCAGGTCCTACCCTTTCCTGCTTTCCTCATACATCACAGTCCTAAATGTCACCAGCATACGGGGCCAAGGTCCACATTTCGGTCTGGTCTGCTCCTCAGGGCTCTAGAACCTCATTGCCAAATGCAGAAGCCGTGGGCCAAGTGTAGTGATGGAATGTGGCCAGAGCAAGTGAGAAGCTGAAGTTGTGATTTTTTATAAATTTGAGTTCCAGTATAACTAACGTACAGTGTTGCATTCGTTTCAGTTGGATTAGACAGTCCCGGGGACCCTGTCCGGTCCCGTCCAATGGCCAGCTTGATATCGCCGCACAGCTGCCTCGAAGTGTGGCCGCCACAGCTCATCGAAAAGGAAATGTATGGCTTTTCTCCCCAGTCCAGTCATCTTCCAGTACTTTCTGTCTCCAAGGATGGCACAGGTGCTCATTCACTCTCTCAAACCAGAGCTCGAGGCATCAAGCTGGACGTTCTCTCCGTCCCCTCTAACCTGTGCTCAGTCCTCTCTGGTTCCCAAATATATCTTCAGACTCCTGGTGTTTTATCCCCACAAGTGCCCATCCAAAGTCCCACACGTGCTCATGGACACCCCTGCTTCAAACCCTCTTTACCACCACCCCCAGTCCCTGCCCCACACCCTCTGAGACTCCGCCTCACTGTCTGTGCCCTCTTTGCTCTCCCCAGTACATGCTCCAGCCAAGCCCCAAGGCCCTCTCCTCCATGCTCCATGCCACCTCCACATGTTCACACTGGCCTGCGTTCCTAGTGTTCCTGGTGTTACTCTGCAAACCACAGAGAAGGGACTTCTACCTATCCCTGCTTCTCGCTGATTGTTCACAGCCTACCACGGGGCCCAGGACATGGTAGCCGGGTGTACACGTGAATGAACAAGGGAGGGAATTAAATGAATGACTTGTTCCTTTGTCTCTAACGCATGTGGTTCAAGCCAGTGTCTCTGTCAGCTTACGGCCGTACTAAATAGCACAGTCTAGGGGCGCCTGGGGGGCTGAGTTCGTGAAGCAGCTGCCTTCAGCTCAGGTCATGATCCCAGAGTCCTGAGATCGAGTTCCACGTGGGACTTCCTGCTCAGTGAGGAGTCTGCTTCTCCCTTTGCCTCTGTCCACACCCCCCACCATGCTCTCTTTCTCTCTCTCAAATAAATAAATAAAATCTTAAAATATATATATATACATCATAGTCTAGGTGGCTGAAACTACAGGAATTTCTTTTTTCACTGGTCTGGAGGCTGGGAAGTCTGAGATCAAGGTGCCTGCCAACCCTGTTCCCTGATGAGGCCTCTCTCCCTCGCTGGCAGACTGGCGTCTCAGAAGTGTATCCGCACGGGGCAGAAAGGAAAGTGAGATCCCTGGTGTCTCTTCTTATAAAGGATTCATACAGGATCTCAATATGGGCCCGCCCCTCGTGACCGCACATGAATGTGATTCTCTCAACGGCCCCACCTCCGAATACCACCACATTGAAGGGTAAGGCTTCAGCCTGTGAATTTTGGGGGGATACCACGAGGTCCATGGCACCCAGAGTGTTATCCTATCTTACGACCTACTTATCACGCCAAAGGGCCGTCC